AGATGAGGGTACCTCAACAAATACCTTAGTGGCAACATGATTCACTCCAGTCTGAACTCACCCACTTCATGTGAAAATAGAGCTGCAAGAAGTTGAAACTGTCTTTTGAATCTACATGGAAATAAAACTTGTGTCAGAACCAGTGCCAGGTTGAGGTCAACACCAAAGCTCTCGAGAGCAATACAAGACTTAAGACTTTGAGGGATTGAGACAAAATAGAATCCAAGATGGTAGGACCAAGACAACACTGTTTGAGGTTTTCAAGTGAAAACCAGAGCCCAGTACATGGGCAGTACTGGACTAAGAAAAAAGTCCTAAGTTTGTGTTCAAGAAGTTAAAGTTCCAGAAGCTCAAGAATCTTTATTATCCCAAGGAGCAATTTGTTGCACCGCCAGTAGATATCAAAACAAGAACATCATTCCTACACAAACACAAAGATCACAAACTTTCATTAAGAAATTTAACTGCTGCTGCAGTTTTTAAATCTATTTGTTCTACATTTAGTCAACTGATACCTGCGTCCAGACAGAGGAAGCCTGAACTCACCATGGAGTGGGTGATCAAAGTATGCCAGAATAAAACTGGTCTTTTTTCACTGACCTGAACTTGTGTAGGTCAACGAGGTTTGCTAGGTCTTTACCAGCAATTCTGCTGCACAACCTGACAATCCCCAAAAGTTTGTTATTGTCCTTACATGTTAAAAACGCCAAACCAACAGATGAAAGTCAAAGTTAAAAGAGCAAAAGACATGATAGAAGTGGATTTAATGTTTCAGAGTTTTCTTGTTTTCTGTTAACAAAATAACCCAAATGATAAGGAGATGAAATTAACTTGGCAGACTGGTTAAACTTCCAAACCTATTCTGGGTTGAGAGGAGGCTGCAGTCTAGCCTATTTATCAAGAAATATAAGTTGGCACGCCCTAGAGTGCTATAGTCCATTACAGCACCAATACAGAGACAAACTGTTGTGCATGCACACACTGCTGTTCACACAGCAGGATAATCGTGCCGATTTTTGCCCTTCTGATAATCTTAAGGGTGCTCAGATTATTGTGATGGCTCTACAGTTAATTTTAGCAGATCTCCCTGCTGTGTGTAGTGTGTTGAGGGATCTAGTCAGCTCTGATCTCAAATCAGGAATATTCAACATGTTGGATATTTTTGGCCCTATTTCCCAGCGTAATTGGTGTTCACCTGAGAACAAACAAGCTCTCAACCTGCTGCACTGAAAAAACAAACTTTTGGGTGTAGTAACGTTAATTTAATTATTCTTTTAAATTTTACAAAAACATATCAAAATCTCTAGACTACTAGAATTTACTAAATAAACAATACACATTATATCAATAAGAAAAAAAATAAATAGGTCCTCTGGATGGGTTCTTCTTTAATAAAATGTTTCGTCTCTCCTCCAATTGACTTCTTCAGTCTGATGAGTTTCAGGTAAACTCAGCCTTATAAGCACTGCCTCCACATGGACAAACAGGTCAGTCACATGCAAAAGACGGCCATCGCCTAACAATAGGCTTGATTAGCTCTATTGTTCATAGAGGGTCATGTGCCCCATCACCTGACTTATTGGTTTGGATCTGGTTATTTGGTGTCGTGTCATGTGTATGTAGTGAGTGCAAGGGGGTTCAACGTACCCTTGTTTTTGTCCCTCTTTCCCTCTTTGTGTTGGGTATCTTTGGGGCCCTGATTCACACCTTTTGCTCACAGGGGGCTGAGTCATACTTGCAATAACAGCATCGTAGCAGGAGGACAACTGGACACGAAGGCCTCCACCTCTGTTTAATGGTGGACTGTATTTCTTCACAAAAATGGCTTCATTTACTCCTCTCTCTCTTCTTTTGAACAGCCACTGTTCAAAAGAATGAGCCAGCACAGACAAGCTACATCATCGGGTCAGGACTCTGCAGTTTACACTCATCTACAGGCCAGCAGTCACTCTTTCAGGGTAAATTTCACTTAATTTGATCAAGTATATTTCACAAGATTTATTTGAGCAAATTAAGTAAAATTTACCTGATTTATTCACAAATCTTAAACTATATTCTTAATAACTTTTACTAAATAATGATGAGTAAATATTACATGAATTTGTAGCATTTAAATTTACTTAACAAACATTATTATTACGAGGATTTTCTTTCAAGTAAATCTTACAAGTTATTTTTTTCAGTGCACCTTGTGCTTGTTCAGGATGGGGGAATGAATCAGAGTACTCATGTTATTAAATTTGACCGCTTTAAATTGTATTTTGACTGAACAGGACTGTAAATATTTGCATTTGATCTGATTTCATTCACAATGAAAATAATCGTAATGATCAGGAATGAATTAAGTTGTCATTAGATTTAAATTGGACCTGTTTGTTTTTACCACTAGTACCCTGTGATTACTTTTATTATGACCTGGTACTGACATGTTTTAAAAGGACCACAAGCACTCTGATATCAGTGAATATATAAACCATAATGATACTGTAGGTGGTAATTGTCATTAATTTAGTAAAATTAAAGATAGATTTAATATTTAACCTGCCATTCAAGGTTCATTTAGTGGTCCAAATACATGCTTATATCAAAGCAAAACTTCACAAATCATCCATTACAGCATGCATCTGTTTTAAACACAAGTCAATCCCAGTGTGATAAAAAAAGACTGTGTTTATTGGAGGAGGAGGTGAATAATGAAAAATTAATGACAGTGCGTGATAAGCCCAGGTTGATCATAAACAAAAACCTCAGGGAGGATAACCTCATGCTGTTGAGCTTACATTTTACCTTTCGTCCTTGACTTCAGAGTCAAATTTAATCTTTGCTTTTTGGTGCACAAATTTACAAGTAAAAACTAATTTAGAGGCAAAAAGGTTTTTGGTTAATGAGGTGGGTGCACAAGCGGCTTTAAATTTTATGGCTTCTGATGCATTTTAGCCAAGAAACAATTCTTTGTGCCGATGGTATTAATTTTGTCTGCTTATTGCCTGCAGCTATGAGTCATAGAATTACCCAAGTAGGTTTTTCTATTCCCCACAAATCTAATGTTGTACAAATGTATATTTATCTTTCATGGGCTTTAGCTCACCCTCGGCAAGGCTTTTGCTGCAGCAGAGCAGCATCCTCTGTCTCAGTGATGCTTTGCTTTATCTATTGTGCTGTTGCAGTGGTATTGTGAGCAGAGCTCTGTCCATCAGAGATGGAACTGAAGGACTTGAAACTTAAGTGCCACAAGCTGTGAAATTGGACAAAAATGTAGTTTGTGCTTTGTTTGTGAATGGCAGTAAGAAAAAAAAAACATGACCTCTTTACGTTTCTGATGCTCTCGTTTCGGCACTATTAGAAACACCAGGTTACAACAGATAAGTTGGTCACGCCATAAAATTCTATAGCATGTGCATCACAAACTTGGAACGTCACAGTTTACATCTGTGCTATGATGCTTAAAAAAAACGACCGAAACCAGGACATTATCAGAGGCTAATGAAAGAATTGCAACCTTAAGATGTTGATGATTACATCAGAGTAACATGATTTGTCAACAGAACACCATACTAAGTTAAAAAAAGTGATGACCACACCTACATATAATGTAGGATATACCTGCTTATATTGCAGTTCACAGTAAATTTTCCCCCTTTCAACCAAATATAAATAAACTATATGTGACATAAATGAACATATTAGTATAATAAGATCTAGTAAGGTTGAGTCAGGTCCTCTGGACAGGTTTTTCTTTGGTGAAATGTTTAGTCTTTTATCCGAAAATCTTCAAACTTAGTCTTGTAAATAAAACCTTCCAATGCTGCTTATAAACCCAAATTTACATTGTGTCCGCTTTGCTGCAGCATGACCTCCACAGAAGGTTGGGGTGTCCAGGGTCCGACTGAGTTCGTCTGCAACTCAGACTGAAGATGTCTTGAATAAAAGACTAAACATTTCAACAAAGTCAAACCCATCCAGAGGACCTGACTCAACCCTGTTCGATATTTCCACCTGGATTATTGAGCACACATCAAGACAAGCGTTACAAGACTTAACATCCTAAAACATACGCTTTGTTTCATGTTTTGACTCAGGTAAAAAGAACTTGTGTGTCAACACACTAGGCAAATTAGAACACATTGAGATATTGGTCTAATATGTATTGTTGGTCTTAGTGTCAAATTCCACCATAATGGATCAAATGGGACCTCTGAGTATGAAAACCATGGTTTGGAGAGGACTGTCACCCATTCCCAGGCACTACAGTGACATAAAAACAAATAAAGATGGCTGATTACCTCTCACAGAGACACATGCTTAATGCACAAAAATAAGGAACTGCGGCTTCACGCCGTGCGGTGACCTCATGCTGCCTCGATCTCGTCTGCTTTTATGACATGCACAGCCCCACACAGCCACACTGTGTGCAGCGTCTGTCTGCTGGTGCTGATAGGCAACATGTGGTTCCTTCTAAACATTAATCTGTTACACATGGTGCGTGTCAATCATGGACAATCTCACAAGTTCTCTTGTGGGAAGTGCCATCGCCGCGCAGACTTCCTGCTCCTCGGGGCTATCGGATGTACAGGCCCGGCTCACAGTGATGGGTGGCACCATCGCACACACCCACTCTCTACAACAACAGTGACTCATCATCTTAGTAATCAACCGCAAAGTCACACAGCCCCCAAAAGCACATTTGTGTAACACGTTTGAGTCAGCTGTGAAAACGAAACAAATTAACTTTGGAGGCTGGATCACAAGCAGAGTCTTCCGTCGCTGCAAGTGGTGCACCTGTTGTGATCCAGGCCGTTGGACCACACGCAGCATGTCGTGACTTGCAGCCCCCCCCCCCCCCCACCCACCACCTCTGTTGTCCATCCATGAGAACCAACATGGAGGGGTGAGATGTGAGATAACATAGAAGAACTAATGAGGAGGGGAATGAGGGGAAAAGAAGATGAAACCCAAAAAAAGTGCGTAGCAGTGATGAGTGCATCATGGGTGGGACTCACCAGCTCAACAGAACCATAGTGTTTCCTGCTGAAGTCTCCACGCCTGCAGCCCAGGTCCTCCGAGGCGGAGCTGTAACACAAACACATGGTCAGACACATAACCTGCTCACCCCAAATATCCCTCAACACATGCCGCTCACTCATACATGAGAGGCAGAAGAAGCATCTGAGCTTGTCTTCTATCTCACTTATCGCACTCTGGCGACTTGTTCACGGCCATATCATCATCCTAACTGTGTCTGTCCTGCTTCTCTTCTTCATTATTCCTCATTCTGTGTCTCTCCATCCATCATGCCTGTACCTCCGTTGGTGCATTAGGTTCTGCTGGTGGCGTAGGGGTGGGTCAGGAGTGGCAGCCAAAGCCAGTTCTGACTGAGATGTCGGCCCTGATTGAATTAGGCTTTAGTGGAAGATGCAGACCTGCTGGGAAAGCTGGCTGCTGGTTACAACAGTTAAATGCAGATCATTTGTGGCTACAGATACAAACCAAATACACGCTCACTGCAAAAATAATAATAATAATAATAATAATAATATTAATAAAAGAAAATGGGTGTCTGTTGCTAAAATATTTCAGCTAAGCCCTCTTGATCTTTTATTCGAGATACAGATCACTGGTTTAAGTCATGTCATGCTTAGTTCACCATATGACACAATTATGTATTCAGAAAGAGCACTGCACAGCATTTTGTTCTGTTATAGCACGGTGACCATAGAAGAACCATGTCAGGGACATAAGTTTTGGTTTTGTGTCACTGTTTTCAGTCATAACAATCATATTATCATTGATCTTAAGCCTAAAGTCTCAAGATATTACTTTTTATACGAAACAAGCTGGGTATAATTCTGAAAATATCAAGTAACTTTACTGTATGAAGCAGGTTGTGTTCTTGAGGCGCCCAGTTGGTATTATTGGAAACCTAAATGGTTCAACTGTATGAAAAAGCAGAAAGGGCTAAACTAAAGATAGAAAGCAAACACACACAAGCATGAACATACACTTACAGTGAAGTTAGTCTTTCTGTCACATGAAGCTCACTTTGGGGAAAAAAGAAAAATAATTACAATTTTGCACTTAGCATGGCCCCAAAAGACTGCCAGCACTCTGTTAATGTAATGTGACAAGATTTTGGAAAACTTTACTCTAACTGCGCAAACAACTTAGGGTGCTACCAATAAGCATTTTGCATTAGATGTTGGTAAAATAATGTTCACCACCATAAAAATCCAGCATTGAATATTTGCTTGATATGTTAATACACTGGTAATACTTTTATGTTTATTCAAATATAAATATGACTTTTCCGTGCAGTTCGGTGGTCTCAGGATTCCACCGCTGCTATTTGCGGATGATGTGGTCCTGTTGGCGTCATTGTGATCTTCAGCTCTCTCTGGAGCGGTTCACAGCTGAGTGTGAAGCGGCTGGGATGAGGATCAGCACTTTCATGTCTAAGTCTATGGTCCTCAGTCAGAAAAGGGTGGACTGCTCTCTTCAGGTTTGGAGTGAGTTTCTGCCTCAAGTGGAGGAGTTTAAGTACTTTGCGGTTTTGATCACCATGGAGGGAAGAATGGAGCGTGAGATTGATGGGACTCCATACTGGTCTGTTGTGGTGAAGATGGAGCTGAGCTGTAAGGCAAAGCTCTCTGTTTACCGGTTGATCTGCGTTCCTACCTTCACCTATGGTCACAAACTTTGGGTAGTGACTGAAAGAACAAGATTGCAGATACAGGCGGTTGAAATGAGTTTTCTCAGCAGGGTAGTTGGACTCTCCCGTAAAGATAGGGTGAGAAATTCAGTTATCTGGGAGAGACTCAGAATAGAGCCCCTGCTCCTCCACATAGAGAAGAGCCAGCTGAGGTGGAGCGGGCATCTGCTCAGGATGTCTCCTGGATGCCTCTCTAGGGAGGTGCTTCACGCAGGTCCGATGGGAGGAGACCCAGATTAAGACTCAAGACACTCTGAAGAGATTATGTCTCTTGTTTGGCCTGGGAAAGCCTTGGAGTCCTCCCAGAAGAGCTGGAAGAGGTGGCTGGGGAATGGATAATGGATGTTTGTTGTCATACTGTGATAGTCAGTGCTAATTCAACAGGTTCAAACTGCACAATGTTTTAATTCAGTAAATTTAAGAAAGGCTCCCTCATTTTGGATTGTGACTTGTCATTAAGGGGTGATAGAGCATCCCAAAGCCAGAAAAGTTGAGAACTACTACTTTATAGTATGAAACATGATTTCCAGCAATATCAGGTTGACAGAAATTTATTGAACAAAGACACTTTAAAACATCACATTTACCTCATATCCTACACTAACAATAGGTGCATAGTGAGCCAACAATACTGCAACACAATCTCATGCTATGCAAAAGCTCTGAACTGCTGCAGTATTGTGCTGTACTTGTGACATTTTTATAATAAGGGTTGATATTGTTTGTCCTTCTTCTCCATCTCATTTGATATCCTTTTGTGTTATTGACAAGTGTACAAAATAAAACATTGAGGTATTCAATTACTGGGGCATTGTAACAACGATATAATGTTTTCAGTACCAGTTATGTACTCTGTCCAGTTGTTTGATGTAAAAGCAATATTTTCCACTTGTTCATTCTACAAATGTGGATAAATGCCCATACAAGAAGAGGAAGAAGACCCAGAAAATGGTGCAAGAGATCAGGATAGTCTCTGAGAGAATCCTGCAATGTGAACATTACCACAATCATGGAACAACTGTCACAAGATCATGGTGAATGCCACAGATTGGCTGCAGCAATGCCACATATCGGAACAAAACACCACATCACCAAAACACCCACAGCTACACCGCCTTCTTAGCAAACTCCAAGTTTATGCCAAAGAGTGCTGTTACTTCTTTCTCATCCTTTAGACCAACATACAGTACATAATGAACATGTGTTATGAATATTACACAAATACCCTGATGCATCTCAGTAATCCAGGTAGAAAAAAATCAAAAAGAAAAAAATAAGTAGTTCCTCTGGATGGGTTCTTCTTTAGTGAAACGTTTCGTCTCTCATCCAAGAGACTTCTTCAGTCTGATGAGTTTCAGGTGAACTCGGCCTTATAAGCCCTGCCTCCACCTGGACAAACAGGTTAGTCACATGCAAAAGAGGGCCATCGCCTAACAATAGGCTTGTTTAGATTTATTTAGTCACATGCAAAAGAGGGCCATCGCCTAACAATAGGCTTGATTAGCTCTATTGTTCATAGAGGGTCATGTGCCCCATCACCTGACTTATTTGTTTGGATGCTTCATCTGTGGTTATTTGGTGTTTTCTTAATGAGTATGTAGTGAGTGCAAGCGGGGCTCGACGTCCCCTTGTTTTTGTCCCTCTTTCCCTCTTTGTGTTGGGTATCTTTGGGCCCTGATTCACACCTTTTGCTCAAAGGGGGCTGAGTCACACTTGCAATAACAGCATTTGTAGGAGGAGGACAACTGGACACGAAGGCCTCCAACTGTTTAATGGTGGACGGTTTTTCTTCACAAAGATGGCTTCCTTTACTCCTCTCTCAAACCAACGTTCCCCTCTATGAGAACATCTTCATCCCAGAAAGAGAGACCGCTGGCCTGTAGATGAGTGTAAACTGCAGAGTCCTGACCTGACGAAGTCGCTCGTCTGTGCTGGCTCATTATTTTGAACAGTGGCTGTTTTGTTTCCCCAATGTATGACTGATCACAGTCCTCCTGACACTTAACAGCATATACCATATTACTCTGTTTTTGCCGAGGAACTATTGTTACGCGATGGCCCTATTTTGCATGTGACTAACCTGTTTGTCCATGTGGAGGCAGTGCTTAAAAGGCTGAGTTCACCTGAAACTCATCAGACTGAAGAAGTCTCTTGGAGGAGAGATGAAACGTTTCACTAAAGAAGAACCCATCCAGAGGACCTACTTATTTTTTCTTTTTGATTACACAAATGCCATAAACATCACAAGATGGAACATACTGTATGTTGTAAAGGTTTTGACAAATGTGAAAAATAAATAAGTGTGTGATGGTAGCATACATGAGCATACAGTCCTCTTCTGTATCACATCTTAACAAACACAAAAATACTTTACAATTCAAAAAGACAACCTAAAAGCTCTGAACTGAAATGAATAGTTTATTTAAGAAATGAACATCTGTCGACAAGCAAGAAAACACATTTCCACAGCTAATTGTTTCAGCCATTACTTTAATGTTCACTACTGATTATATACACAACAGATAGAAAAAAGAAGTTAAGACTATGCATAGAAACACAGTAATGTAAACTGTGGAAACTGACAGGAATTTGAGCAAAATGTAAAGGAGAAAAACTTGTGCATGTGGACAAATTATTAACAAGTCAGTGGGAGGCTATTATCTATAGTTGCCTGTTTTATACTTTTTGCATATCCTGTGTTTGCATATCTGTGTTACTGCCCAAGACTCGTTTGCTTCCTTTAACTCTTTGACCTGCCCCCCACTCCCACCTTAGCGTCTAACTCCACTTAACTGATCCCTGCTTTTTTCCTGCCAGCAGAGCGAGGCCGTTAATGCATAATTCATGGCTGAGCTTTAAAGACACATTTATGTGTATGCATCCATCACTGCTTCCTTACAGAACTCGCTCTCCATCACAGGTCCAGCCCTGCTTCTTACCTTTTCTTATTTTATTTTAACTCAGTAAAAGATCAGGAAAGCATTTCAAGGGAACCTAATCAACTGATATACCCCATCCACATACATAAACACACACACACACGCTCCAATCTACTTTATTTACCATTTTATAAAGACAGTAATTATTTAAAAAGAAAAAAAATCCTCCCAATGAAGTTCATGGTGTTTTTTTTTTTTTTTTGAGTTTTTGACTTTCTCTTGGGATTATTGAAAAAAGAAAATGTTTTACTTTTTATGGTAAATGGACTGAACTTATAGAGCACTTTATCAAGTCCCTTCGGACCCCAAAGTGCTTTACACTTACAGACATTCACCCATGCACACACACATGATGGTAAGCTACATTGTAGCCACAGCCTGAGGCTCACTGACAGAGATGGGGCTGCCATGCACCGGCGCCACCG